AAAAAAAAAAAAAGATCCAAACAATACTCACACAAAAAAAAATAAAATAAAAAAAAATATAAAAAAAATCTCAAAACTTTACTTGCTGCATGGCTACACACTTTCATGTTTAGACATGTTCGTATACATTTCAAAACCTTTTAACTCGAAGTTGGAGTTAAAAAAAAACAAAAAACAAAAACTAAAGCACAATTATAAAATCAGCACCAATTTATATATTTATATATAACTTTATTTAAATGTAGATGTCTACATAGCTCTAACCAGGCAGAAGAAAATCTCCACCAGACAAACTACACTAAGTTTTGTTTTATTAGAGACAACACAATGGCACTACTGGAGAGATTTCCTCTTCTTTGCTTGATCTTAGATTTTAGAGGGACAAGCGAGCAGATCTGATCTTTGGATAAGCCTTGTGACTCGGCGGAAGAATTACAGTCCTTTCTGTGCATCTCCACGGACCGACTGGGATTCTACGCGCCTGATTTACTAGAGCAGTTGGCACATAAAAACAGTTCTGTTGGTGCAAAGACAGCAACAGGCCCACTGAATGGTTGAGGTATTTAACATACACCAATCACTGATCGTGTCAATGAAATTACCCCAAACCTCAAAAATGCACCAAAGGCAGTAATAAATCGGAGTGCTCAGAGTGTTTTGATTTAGGTTTTGTGTTGTATGTCATGAGTTTTAAGGGTGGAATAAAAGGAAACTAAATACTAGATATAAAGACCTGGAGATTTTCCTCCATTTCACATATTAGATAAGAAGAATAAAATATATCAATACTCACACTATGATGAGCAAAAACCTGCTTATAAATTACTACTTTACACCAGATTACTCACTATTACAAAAGGGCTATACATAACAAAGTTGTCTTTTAAGTTAAAAAAAGATGCATTCACCCCCGGTTTCAAGAAATACCACAACTCTAAGAGATCTCACATATGTTTCTTCAAACATGATGACGTTCAACTGTGAAATATTTATATATATATTTATATATATATTTTATCATAAACTCATGTATGGCTAAGGACAGTCTGAGATTCCATGGCGTTCAGTATCTACTCTCACTGTTTTGCACGATCAGGGAAAGCCCACACAATGATTGCAAAGACTTTGAATTGCTCCTTTATCCTTCCTGCGTTTTAGTAAGTGTCAATGGTACGAGCTGATTTGGATGCCAATCACTCCATTGAATTTAATTCTCTTTAGAGAAACAATGTGAATTCACGCAAAACGTCTCTTCTCTTCACACGCCTCCAATTATAATCTTAAAACATGGGCACTCCCAGGACCTATAAGAGAAAATGTTCAAATTCAGTTCAGTGTTTAGAGTTACCAAACAAACGTTTAATTCAATCATCAGTCCAGATGGGTCTGATTAGTATTTATAATAGTGAGACGCTCTCCCCCTCTCTGTCTTTTTGCACAAGGGCAATTCAAACTATCTGAAATCACTCCTGCTAGTGCCATCTAGTGGTGATCTCTCTTTCAGGTCCTTAGTGTCGGAGTGAACGAGTCCCCCATTACCGCTGAAAAGCATCATAACCCAGGAAATGAGTGCTTCTTACAGACTCATCCATGATGGAGGCAGGGTCGAAAAAGTCGGGCTTCAGTTCCGATCTCTCTCGTCGATTCTTCGATGGGGGCTACAAGATAGGAAAGAGCAGGCAGTAAAGATGAGATGTGCTAAAAGAAGTGTTATTAATTTACAAAATGCGACATTAAATTGCGTTACATTGAAATATACATACTAGTGTTGTAGTACTCAAGACCGGTCTTAAGACCATTTTTGGAAGGTCTTGGTCTCGACCACATTTGTACTTGGTCTCGTCTTGGTGTCAGACTAAAAGGACTTGGGATTTTGTTTCAAGACCACAACTGCGGGGATATCACTAAATTGCCAGTGCATTGTCTGATTTATTTGTTAACATCATTAATGTGACTGGATGTAAAATGTCCTGCTTTAAATGCAATCAATAACTAAATAACAATAATAGTTTGATTTATACAAGTGGATCTCAATTTTTGACTTCAAGATCCCCTATTGTCCACAACAATATTTAAAGGACTCCTTCACTCACCCAAAATATTTTAGAGCTTAGCATTAGAAGTCTGTTGAGGCCCCCTGGCTGAGAACCACTGATTTATACTGTAATGCTGGGTCAGAAATTAATGAGGGGTTGTGTCAAAAATGTCACCCAAATTAATACAAATACCCACAAAATTCAATATATATTGTTGCAAAAAAGTACTTGTATGAGATCTGTATTTTTATATTATATTATAACACATGATATAATTAAAGGTCCCCTGAAATGCTTAGAAACAGGCAGGATTACTATGTGTTGACGTCTGATTTCATGGGGACTTTCTGTGCCACCACTGCAGAGGCAAAGATGAATTTTGTTGTTAGTGATTTAATTTGATTGGTAACAGCTCTATATAGCGTTTAACTATTCTAATAGTATTTAATGATTTAAAATAAGACATTTCTCGGGCAGTAAATGTGGATCTTTCAGAAGAATTTGAGTAGTGGTGGTCTGGTCTTGATCTTGTCTTGGTCTCAACACACACTGGTCTTGGTCTCGGATTAGGTGGTCTTGGCTACAACACTAATACATACACAGAACTGTTCAAAAGCAGGGGTAAGAAAGAATTTAATACTTTATTAACCTTCATTCAGCAATGATGCCATAAACTGATCACAAGTGACAGTAAAGATTTTTTAGTAAAGTTTTTCAGTAAAGTTTCTTTTGTTTTTGTTTTTATTTCATAAAGATGCTGAAAAGAATCCTGAAAAGTTTGGTCACCAAAAAATATTTAGCAGCCCAACTGCTTTCAACATTAATAAGATAATAAAAATAAATGTTTCTTGAGCAGCAAATCAGCATATTAGACTGGTATCTGAAGGATCATGCGACACTGAAGACTGGAGTAATGATGCTTTAAATCACAGAAATAAATTACATTTTGAAATATATCAAAATAGAAAACAGCTATTTTAAATTGCAATAATATTTCACAATATTACTGTTTTTACTATATTTTTGATAAAACCAACGCAGTCTTGGTGATCATTACGGACTTCTTCCAAAAATGACAGACTTCTTTAAAAAAAAATCGTGCATACCCCAAACTTTTGAACAGTAATATAAATTGTCATTTACACAAAAGTCTACTCCTAGAGACCAAAATCATAAAGACATTTGGTATTAGCATAAGCTTATTACCAGATCGATATCCATGGTGTCAAAGTCCATGCCTTCATTGAGATCCTCAATTCGGCCTTCTGATGACATCATCACATCTTCCACAATGGGTTCCTCATCATCCTCCATAAGGCCTGTTCCTCGACGACTGCAAGCATTGAAAGACCAAAGGCACCATATTTGTAAAAAAAAAAAAACATGTTTTTGTGTGCATTCAAACTGCATCTACCCACTGAACATGAAGTGCACTGTAAAGTTCCCTTACATGGCATGCTGAAGGTTACTCCTTAATTTGGCGTAGTTCATAGCTCTCTCCTGCTGCTGTCTGGCCACCTCCTCTTGCTGCTGTCTCTGTGCTAGCATCCAGGTGACTTGTGTGCTGTTAAACAATAACATCACACATCACTATATTTCTTCAGTCCCAAACTACACTAAGCAGCACACATGCTTTGACGAGAACTGAAACGGCGGTGTAGAATAAAGGTAAAATATGTGAAAATAATGTTCATGTAAGCATGAACACATGCTACTCTGCACCCCATAAATACAATCAAGCCTTTCGAAAAAAAGCTGATCAGCCACCCCTTTAAGCTTGAGTATCAGTGCTCTTACTTGTAGTCCATGGGTGTTTGGTGGTGTTGTGGCTGAGGGGTCTGAGGGTGTGTGTGCTGCTGTTGCTGATCGGGGGTCATGGTGTACACCCCCATGTAGCTCTCCTCAGGACGCAGGCGTTTGGGCTCTCTCATGATGGTGGAGGTGAGGTGGGGTGAAGGCATCATGATGGGCGTCTGCATGCTCTGCTCACGGCTCATCCATACTTCACTGCTGCTGCTGCTGCTCTCCTCTGGACACGCAACAGAGAGCAGGACAAGCATTAAAGTCACGATAAATTGGAAACAGTGACAGATCTTTTCTTATGTATTGTGATGTACATTTGAGTGTAATGGATTATAGAGAAAGAAAAAACGTAAGGCAGGGACTTTGTTCGGTGCATCGACTGTTGATTGGATTTTTGTGACGTGTCCACTGTATTAAAAATGCAGATGAACATGAGTTTGCAGGGGTGGGATTAAAGCGATAGTTCACCCAAAAATTTAAATTCTGTCATTTACAGTTTCTGGTCCCTATTTTTCTGGTATATTTGTCTATACTAGTGCTGTGTTCGATACATCGATAAGACGATGTATCGTCACAGAGATTTGACGATACGAGTATCGATACAGCTGTCCCTGTATCGATATTGTGGCACGTGTGCAGCAGTGGACCGCGCTTAATTTGAATACAAGAACAACGTTTAAAACGGAGTAGAAAAGTGCAAGGTTTCTAAAAAATAATTAATAGAGCATAATATATAAGCTACAACAAGGTTTAATCTGGCCGCAGAGGAACACAACCGGGGTTGCCTGATATAAAGAGACGTAATCCCCAAAACAGAGCTTCCCACTTGCGCAATACGGAAATATCTGCTAAGTGTGCTACTTATCTTTGTCCATCTGGCAACCGTGTGTACGCGCGCTCTCTCCACTGGATAAACGCACGTGCTTTCTGAAAACACTGGTTAGCTTGCAGTTTAACGATCTCCAATACGGAAATATCTGCTAAGTGTGCTACTTATCTTTGTCCATCTGGCAACCGTGTGTACGCGCGCTTTAATTCCTTTAGAAACAATGATGTTTCCTGCTCCTTGTTGAGAAAGATAATGTAGCTCTTGAGCGATTGAGCTATTTAGTTGATAAAATTGCGGGGTAGCGCTAAAAAGTTTGTTCTTGAATGTCTGAGTGCGGCTGCAACGTGATCTGTGTGAGTGACCAAGCGTGTGTGTGAGTTAGATACAGAAGACAGCGCATTAGTTTAGAACTCTTCTAATTTAAATTTGTATTTTTTAAACGTAGAGGGCCTATGTATCGTGATACGTATCGTATCGTGACTTTGCTGGTGATACACAGCCCTAATCTATACTATCGAAGTCAATGGGGACCAGTAACTGTTTGGTTACCATCAGTCTTTAAAATATCTTCTTTTGTGTTCAGCAGAAGAAAGTCAGTCAGTCAGGTTTGAGGGTAAGTAAATGACAGCATTTTCATTTTTGGGTGAACTATCCTTTCAGAGGACTAAATGATTGGAGAGGTCTTGCAAACGTCACCAGAGAGAAGCCTGACATTATATTATATATATATATATATATATATACACATCATTGCATACATATACTTCGTAGTAGACATCCATAACTCCTTTCTGCTGTCTGTTGTCAGTGTTTCTTTGTTTAAATATGGCGCTTATCACATGCTGTGTGGTATCGGCGTTTGGTATCGGGGCATTTTAACGAGTACGAGTACGAGTACAGGAGGCCAGTATCGGGCCCGATACCGATACCAGTATCGGTATCGGTGCATCCCTATATATATATATATATACACACACAAACATGAATGTATCGTTCGCAATAAGATCGATAGCATGCATTTACAAAATAGATGCTTTTTCATTCCATGCCGACTTGCCGACACCATGAATAAAAAATAACATGATTTACTTCCTTAAAAAAATGTCTAGTGTTATAGTGCACGATCCATCAATGTATGTTATTCGATCACATTAAACACATTACTTGTCTGATTTCTTGAATTCAAACTGTTTTACCTTCTGGTAATTTCCTCTTGCCAGTGGCAGGCTTAGCTTTTTTACTCCTGACGGAGGAGCCTCGGCTACTGATGCCACTGACCACAGACATAGTGTCATCATCACCCCCTGCCTGCAATGAGTTCCTGTAAGAGATGAGCGGCAGCCAGCAGTCTTCTCTCTGCAGGGCCATCTGAAATGTCATGAAGCGCTCCAAATACATGTGCCTTTGGGAAAAGAGAGAGAGGACCAACATTAGATCCAACAGCTAATGAATGATCCACAAAGTGCCCTTACACAACTATAAACACCCATGCTGAGATCAATAAATGGTTGCTTACACAGTCCGCTTGTCCTGACGCATGAGTTTGGATGAGAACTCGCTGAGAATGTCAAGAAAAGCCAGGTTGAGAGGAGGATGTCCCTCCCCCTGAGGATTGGGCTCTTTGAAGGCAAACTCAATACCGTCCCTTTAAAGAGAAAGCAACATGGGGTGTAAACATGCAACTCCACACACAATTGTTTTTTCTGCCAAGAAGAAATGAATGGAAGCTTACTTGTGTAACATAGCGATGGCCTCTCTGGTTTTGAGCTGATCCAGACCAAAAGTCAGAGAGAAGCGTCGAGCGAGCTCTTTAATGCCACAGAAAGCTGAGGATGAGCGGTCAAAGCTAGGTCCCAGATCTGACAGCATCTCATTGAATAGCTGCTCTCAGCACAGGAAGAAAGACATATCAAGGACCTGCGAGTAAAACCCATTTTGATGGCAGATATAAAACCTTATAGTCACTGACCTGCTGTAAGCTCAGAATGAGTGTCTTTGCACACTGGATTTTGTCGATCTGTCTTGTCTTGCTCATAGTTTCCTTGATGATGTCACCATAGTCATTGTAATACTGGACAGGAAACAGAAAAACTTGCATTTAAGTGAATAATAAAGTGAAGTAATGATCTGAAAAAGCATATTCAAAGAATAAACAGACTCACCCTCATGTATTGCTTGAAAATGTCTGCACCAGTGTTGATCTCAACAACATTGTAGATAATGAGTTTGCAGTATGCGGCCAGCAGGTTTCGCCTCTTGTGCAAAGCTTCGATTTTACCGGCTTCATCATCCTGCTGCCCATCTGTTCGAAAATAAAGGAAAACAGACGTTCAAATACTGCTCATGAATCAGCTTGCACTAGAAGGAAAACTGCTGCCCTCTAGTGGTCACCTTTTAAACGCTGCTTCTTGACAACAAATGAAGCAAGGCAAGTTGATATTTGTCCAACAACTCTCCTTTTAAACTAGTCAGTCTACTTCAGCTAAAGCTCTGTGCACAACAGGATTAAGTGTTGCTAGAGTCTCTAATCTCTAAATCAATTAAACGCTTCTAAAGCCAATTTCCTTTGTGTTGTCTTAGTGTTAGCATTCAACATTAAACAGTCAGGGCACTAAATCCATTCAGCAAAGCCTGTTAGCTCCAACTGAAAGTCATTATGCCATTAGCAGTGAAAGACCTGTGCTGTTGCTGTCTTCATCCTGGTCAATGAAGACATGGTCGAGGATGAAATTGAGAAGATCGGACTGCAGGGACTCATCAGGTGTGTATACTAGGGGCTCAAGAGCTTCCCTCCCACCTGAGATGATCTGATGGCTGAAGATCAGCAGCAGGTCACAGAGGATGGTGAAGGCCTGAGGGAGAACATACAGTCAGGTACAGGCTGTTTGTGGCATGAGGGATAGTGACATGTTGTGACCATTGATACAAACCTGCTCTTTGACGGCAGTGTTGACGCTGGTAAGGTAACGCTGGCACATTAGACAAAACGCCCTCATCTGCTTCCTCAGAGTCAACATGTCCTCCTACAGAGACCAAACGCATTGTTGACATCCAACAAACCACAGCAAATAAGGGGAGAGGATGAATGCATACAAATCATATGAATGGGAGCTACCTTTTTAGAAGTGCCCTCAGAGACCTTGGCTAAACTCCAAAGAATGACGTAATGTGTACACTGCAGTGCATGAATGACAATCTGAAACGTCCAGAGAGACAGTAATGTTACCCAACAATCATGAGGCAAAAGCAAAGTTTCAGCTGATTTCGAGGTGTTATTTCTATAAATGCCTGGTTTTGTCTCAGAGTAAAAATAAAAGAAAAACAGGTCATTGTGAGATATAGTTTAAAATAAGAAACAAAATCAATTGTGAGACTTCAAGATGCAATTCTGAGAAATAATAGTTCTAAAAAAGTCATAATCATATAAATTAGTCAAAATTATATAAATTGATTACAATTATAAGAATGGTGAATCTTAAGTTGCAACTATGAGACATAATCAATCGTGAAAGATGAAGCCTCAATTGTAAGATATGAAGTCACAATTAAGAAAAAAAAGTGGCAATTGTGAAAGATGAAGTCACTATTAAATGAAAAAAGTAATAATTAATATAAAGTAACAATTGTGAAAATTGTCATTAAGTCTGGCCCAGTCAGGCACTACCTCAATAATTCTTCATATGCACACGAATACCTGCTCAGGCATGTCTCCGTTTTCAATACCAGTGTTCAGTAACTTGTAATTGCTAGTGAATAGGTCCCATTTGGAAAGGTCATGAGCACTAAACACAAAAAAAGGTGTGGAATGCGTGTTAGAAAAGTAAATTACAGCCTTCACCTAAAGTGATAAAGAGAAACATTTAATAATATACAGGGAGGTGAGACAGGGAAGCCTTACTTGTGGAAAGCTGTGATCCTCTTCAGTGTGGACAGAACTTGATAAGCATCATCTTCATCTGGGTCTTCACCCTGTGGAAGAAACAAGCTATATATGACAACTGCAACTTTCTGAGCTTCTGATACATGGTGGCAGCATTCAGAAAGAAATAGTTTGAATTGAGTACTAGGGATGAGTCAAATGTACTAATTCCTTAACTCACTCACTAGTAAGACTAGTCTACTGGCCTGTCTTAAGGATGCTCTGAATAATAAAGGCTATATTAGGGTCTATATTATATATTAGTCTTGCGTTTAAAAACAACTGGACATGGATTTTTTTTTTTTTTTACTGAATCTGAAATATTTTAACATTGCCTATACATATATACACACACACACACACACACACACACACACACATATATATATATATATATATATACATACATATATCAGACTAATCTAACTAATCAGACTCATCCATACAGAGAAACCTCCAGAAAAAAAGACAGTGTGTCACGCACAAATACTCTCGCCAAACTGCTGTTCCTATGCAAACATCAAAGTGCTCCTGATGCTCCACCCTGAGCCGCCCTCACCTCCTGCAGGAAGTCCTCCAGTAGCCTGTTAAATTTGTCCACTTGCTCATCCAAGAGCTGGCTACGGGCGATATCCACCCGGTTAAAGATAGTGAACTCCTCGTTGCACAGGGAGTGGTAGGTTTTAGAGCAAGCCTCGAGCACATCTGTGTCCGTGTGCTTCTCCACAATCTCTCTGATTTGTCTTAACAATGAATCCAGGTGCTGTGAGAGAAAAAAAATAGCTTTCATTCATATGCTGCACAATCAGCCTATTGTGAATAATCTGTGTTCATTCAGCGCATTTATTCTGTTTAAACGATATGCAATTCAGACCTTTTCCAAACGCCCTGTGGTATAGATCTCCAGATCAAAAAACTGGGGCAGCTGCAGCAGATTTGTCACTTTCTCTGCATCCACAGAGTACTGTAAGAAAGAAAAAAAAACATATCGATCAGTTTCAATGGTCTGTAAATACCATTTCATGTTGCCTTAGATTTCAATAGGCTTTAACCTTTGCAAGTAAAGCTGGCAGTGATATAGCAAAGAGCTCCGTCATTCTCGTCCGGTCATCAAGCTGAGTCTTCTTCTCCTTCGCTGTCAGAACCTGAAACCAGATCAAGTGAGAATTGAGAACAGCATGTAACAGGTAATGTGTGAAAGCAGGGATCCGTCTTCAGGGCTGGCCGATGCGTGTGGCATCAGGTCTTACCCTCTTGCCTGTGCCTCTGCCCACAGGAGGATGGCACTCTGCAGCCTGACGGATGGTGCACAGCACGATCTCTATCAGAGCCGTCTCCTGTCTGTCCGTCAGAGCTGGAAAACACACACAAAGGTAATTAATCTCTCACTCCCTTTGGAGCAAGTAAAAGTCAACCCTGTATGTTCCGGTGGTGTGTCACTGGGTCGGACCTTCCTCTCCAGGCAGTGGCTCATCCAGTAGTAGGCTGATCATGCACTCCCAGTCCTTCAGGATCTCTCCTGCACAGTCCCACATGCTGTCCACTAGGTAGGCTGCATGCTCATGAAGCTGAGGATCAAAACATAACACCTTATAACATCTTAGAATTATTATTACAATTATATATAGGTAGGTAGTAAAAATTTTTATGACATGTCAGTAGTTGAAGCTATTTTCATGGCAAAATCAGTTTGTTTAAATAAAGTTTGGAATAACTGAGTTTTTTTTTTAAAAAGAAGAATCCTTCAATGCATATTAGAATGATTTCTGAAGTATCATGTGACACTGAACACTGGAATAATGGCTGCTGAAAATTAAGCTTTGCCATCACAGTAATAAATTACATTTTTGAATTTATATTCAAATAGAAAACATAAATAAAATTAGAGCATAATTATTCAGAGCTGCCATGACTGCCAAGACTACCATGCTTCAATATTAAATTGTATTTCTCTTAAACGGTCTACAATGGAAGAAAACTGAAACAACACAGCACACAGAAGGTGTGTTTGCGAAAACTGTTTGAAAATCATCATTTTTGCAATTCTGTTTAATGGCACTGGTTGCACTGAAATTGCACCCTTCAACTTCATCATACAAACAGCACTGACTTGATTGATTGACACTTGATTCGCAATGTTGTTGATGTTAGCACACCTCACTCTCCAGGAAGAAAAAGACAGTGGTTTTGATGAGGTTGGCGTTCACACTCTGTCTGCCTCGTCTCTTGGGCATGCTGTCATCTTCAGGGTCTCTATGACTGAACAGTCTGCGAACAAAGATGAAAATGTAAAGCTATTCAGTTTACCTCAAGCTATTGTTGTCTCATCACCATGTCTATTCATACACATCTCCACTCAGTGTAGATGCAGACTATTATAACTTTTAGTAGGTCAGAGACTGGGTTTATAGAAAAGCAGAAATGTGAAGCCTGTACAGCTTCATGGTATATGAATGAGTGAGTGAGGATGAGTGAAACTCACTTCTTAAAGAGGAACTCTCCTGCTGCCACAGCGACGGGTCGGTGGGCTGAATACACAAGGTGGTACACGCTCTCACAGTCTTCTGCAGTCAGAACCTCATCACTGCTACTGTAATACCAAACAACAACAACAACATATGAGCATCCTGTCATGCTGATTATCACAGCTGGCTGTGTCTACAGTGTTGCCTACACATTTCACTTTTTTTGTACTGTAAGCACACTTATTTCACTTAGTGAACAGTGGTTTATTTTGATTCAATGACCACTCTGAAAGATTCATCTGATTTGCTGCAACATTTCCTATTATTATCAATGCTAAAAAATAGTTGTGCTGCTTAATATTTGGTTGTGATGCATTTTTGTGATACATTTTTTGATGAATAATAAAGAAATGTATAATGTTACAAAACTTTCTACCACTATTAATCAGTTTAATGTTTCATTGCTGAAAAAAGTATTAATTTCTTTAAACAAAAAAATTTAAAGATGTTTTGTCTTGACAATTGTTTTGTGGTACACATTATTTTGTGTTCTCATATTCAATTCAATTGACCAACTTATAAGTCAAATAAAATATAATTATTTTTGTATGATGCAAGAAACTGCTATAGCAGTATGTTTTACACGTACTGTAACACCAGTGTGAGCAGTTTTATTGCTTGCACTGCAACATCATACTCCTTGTCCAACGTCATGGAGACAATGCGGTCCTGATGGAGACAAACAGACAACCCATTTTATTTTAAAATATTGAAAAGATACATAAAATCGACAAAATCATTTAATTAATCTCTTAACACTTTCACAGAGGAGTATTCTGATGACTAATTACTGTGTTTGCTCTATTTTGGATGAGAAGCTTCCCCAGATGGTTCTCTCACCTTGAAGCGGCTGGTGAAGAGCTCCAACTTGGCATTGAGCTCGCGGTTATAGTACAGCCCCTGCAGAGCCGTGAGACACTTCAGACGCACCTCACCTTGCTGAGAGGGAGAAAGGAAGAGTGTTACAGTTTCGTTCCAACTCCAGGATTGTGTCGTGACTAACTCCATCTGACTCTATATTTAGGGATTAAAGAAATAGGAGAGAAAAACGATTGAATCCTCACCTTGTCGTGCATGGTCCAGCCCACGTACTTCAGATAGCTGTCGTTAAGAAATGCATCACTGTACATTTTCATCCACACCCCAATCTCCTCGATGCAGATCGCCCGGATCTCTGCTATTGCATCACTGAGGAGGAATAACAGAAGCACTTAAGCCCACAGACACCCACAAGAACATATCAGAGTATTATTGAGTAATCACTGAAGTAGTAATTGGTGATTCAAGCTTGAGCTGGTAGAAAATCAATGCTTATGAGTGTGCATACCGATATCGGTGAACAAATACACCCTTGAAAATGGCATTCATCATGTTCTCAATCTCATCTTGATTTTCTTGCAACTGTAAAGAAAATAATTCATTATAATCATTGCTGTAGGCAGTAAATGATGGCAACCTGCATTACTAATCAAAAGTTTGTATCTAAAAATCAAAAGTATATCTTATATTTGAGCTGCTTTAACATCACTGCCTTTTCTCTTGATTGCAGCTCTGCTCACTTCTCCCTCTTGGTTTTCTTTCTAGTTTCCATTTATTATCAGTTTCTATAATTTGGAATAACAGCTCTCTCCCTCTTTTCAGGTCAAAGGCTCACAAATATGTGATTCATTTAGTGTTATCTATGCTTATTATATGGCCATATGTGACCATAAGACCATAAGGTAGTTCACCCAAAAATGAAAATTACCCCATAATTTACCCACCCTCAAGCCATCATAGGTGTATATGACTTTCACATTTACATCTCTGCGTGTTTGCAGTGTAAAAACATGGGCCGATTTTCGCTTTGGTCTGAACAAAAATGGCAGACGGGCTTACTGAAAATGCAAATTCATTCTCTGCCAGCAGGTGGCCCTTTCGGAATGGCAAAAATAAAATGGTTTCCCCGGTAACAGCAGTACACAAAACAGTGCAGCACCTGACTTAAATGTGCAGCGCTCATGTTTATTCAATGAAATCATAGCCTTTTGAGGTTTAATCATCACATTCAGCCATATCACAATTCTGGTCTTTCCGTCCCCAAACTTAAGACCTCTTGAAATCATAATTAAGACTTTTTATGGCCTTAAATTTGATTCAACTGATACAACCTGGACAAATTAGGTTTTTAAAAAGTGTTATTTTTAGACGTGGGGGAAAAAAATGAAAAAGAAAATATATGCAAGAAAAAAAAAATATATATACACACACACCTATGGTGTTATAGGTTTCATTAAAGAATATACATTTTAATTGATTATCTATAATATTTTATTGGGTTCTAAATGTTTGTAAAAAATATTTGTTCAAATCCTTATTCAGTAAATCACAAATGACTAGAAAAGACATGTAAATCCATTGGTTATAAAGAGTGGATTCCCTGAAGAAATTCAGCTCTTCAAACTTCACTTTAGAATTCAGAATTTTTATTATAATTAAAATGAAATGAATACAATAACTATTATTATTATTTTAATAAACATTTTTATCTGGAGAGGTGCGTTATCATCTATGAACACTCCTAATTGCTATGAAACAAAAAAATGTTTTGGAAAAAAAACAACTCATTACAGCTGTTATACCGAGGAAACCTACTATCCTACATGGGGAAGGGTTTGATTATTGTTGTGGTGTTGGAGTCAGATAAGTTCACAACCAGTGTGGTAGGACATACAATCTGCTACTATACAAAATACAATTTCATACCTCAGTTTGTAAAAACAAACAAACAAAAAATATGATCTGTGGGGCGAGTGCTGTATGCTTGCTCCACTGACTTGACCTATAAGTGTTTTTCTGTACATATATAAATCGAGAGCATGCCACAGATGCTGTCATATTCCTCTAAACAATATTACAACTCCGCTTCTCTGTGTGTCCACGTGGTTTAACGCAATACTATCAAGACATCAATAAAACCTCTCACTCACAAACGCAGATGGCTTAACAGCAGGGGCTGTTATTACATAACCCAGTTAATTTACAGCGCCAGTTAAACAGCTTTCGTACTCAGGCGAGCTCTAACCCCATGGGTGCTGTCAGAACGAGCTCTGTGGTTGACCCGAGACTCCACAATAACACAGAGTTCTCATTAGAATAGGATTCTTTTTTTAATTACTTTATCCATGTTTACTCAGCTTTAAAGTAGGGGGAAAGAGTACAGATGAAATGTGCTGAGTGTTTGGTTGGTCGTGTGTTTTTGTGGCTGTTGGCCAAGAGAGGCGTAGGTGTTTGGAAGGAAAGCAGCAAACGCTGCAGTAACCTGGCTGCCTCACGCAATGGGAAGTGAGTCTCCACAGGGAAGAGAGCCATGAATCCCCTGTTCCTCTGAAAGCTTCACTTATTCACTCTTCCCTTTTCAGCTTTCACGGTTGCTCAAAGACAACGCCAACATGCAGAATTTATTCAGACATATGCAGCATCTCTGTCTCAGACAACACTCACCTCCTTGCGTTTCTGAAGCAGAAGCTCTAGTCTGTCATTGGCCCTCTTGCCAATCATCTTGTTCCTCTCTGCTTCGTACTGCCGCTGAGTGTTGTCCATGTTGATGCTGAGGTTCAGAGCTACATTCACGAGGGCCGTCATCAACTTCATAGCTATGGGAAAAAAATCATTGCGTCTTGTTTGGACTAATCAAAACAAAATTTAGATTTACAAAGCAGCAGAGATACTGACCTGCCAGTGTGCTGGTGTGTCTGAAGGCTCGGACTTGAGAGTCAGAGAGGCCGGTGAGCAGTGAGATGACCGTGTCCATCATGTACTCGTCATAGATGATGCTGTACTGACACTGCCGTACCAACACGCCAATAAACTCACAGAAACTAGACTTGAACTTCTTCCACTGCGGCCCGGCCATGGTGAGCGGGTAATCACCACTGTCCTGCAATAACATCAACTCTCACTGGTTAGCGTGTGCACAAAATAATACATAGAAAACACTAGTGGGTGATGAAACATGTTCTTCAGGAAAGCCATTTTCAGGGTTGAAGTGTGAAGTTTACCTCATCAAACTCTTCTGTCATCTTCCTGATGATCTCAGAGTTTTGCATGTTGCGGAACATCTCACCCGTGACAACACCTGTAAAGATAACACTTAAAGTAAGACCTAAAATTTGGTACGTTTTAAAAAGTAATAACATTAAGAAACAAAACTGATATGAGCATTAGTTTATACTTAGCACAGGACTTAAAGGTGTACCAAGTTTATGTTACCAGCCAATTCAATTATTTGTAGCTTTTTTAGTGAGGAAAAAAGTACTACAATGCACTACTAAAAGAAACATTCATCCAGAAATTAAAATTCTGTCATTATTTACTTCTTTCATGATGGAACACAGAAATATTTAGCAGAAATCAAAATTCTTTTTTTTTTCTCCATATAATGAAACTTCAGGCCCGTTCACAACGAGAGTGATAACTATTCTGACAACTATGATATCTACAATAACTATATTAGAATCCACACCAAAAATGATCAAATTGTTTTTTAACAGATTTTTAACAAGTAATGATTTGGGCTTAAATTTTAGTCTGTTCCTCACACAAAGCGATCACATGAATTAAGACAGCTTTGAATATAACACGAGAAGAACCACTTTTATCATGGTTTAATGTCCTTTTAGGAGCTTGATAACCCCAGTCACGTTCATTATATGAAAGGCAGCAGTGGAAACATTCTTCAAAATATCTTCTTAATTGTTCCACAAAAAAATAATGCAGACTGGAATGAAATAATTATGAATAAACAATGAAAGAATTTTAATTTTGGGTGAACTATCCCTTTAACTATCATGATTATGTCTGTCATGTAGCATTTATTATCTACGAGCTCAAATCAGATCACATGAAAAATGACTCAAACCTTTGCAGCCAGAGCACTGGATGAAGAAATTGATCAAGTCGAGAAGTGCGACGTCTCGGTCATATTTGTAGGACTCAATCCAGTCATCAACGACTGACTGCAAAAGAGGGGAGCAGAAATCTTGCAAAGGTCAAAATCTGCTCGACTACACAGCGGTACATCCGTCTGCATATTCTCCTGCCAACACTCAAATCCCTCCAGAAGCCACAAACCCACATGAGGGCAGTGTAAAAGCCATAAGGTCATATGCTTACTGACCTGCATGGCACTCTTTCCCAGCCTGACCACTTCAAAAAGCATGACATTTTCCATGCCGTTTTCCTGGTGGTGACCGTTCATGCGTCCAGCTCCTTTCCCCACTCCTTTCCCTTTCTCTCCAGGGCCCTTCTTTCCTTTCTTCGCCTGAAGCATAATGACATCACAGGTCAACACTGACGAACTGGATCAAACTCTCCACAAGTGAAAAATGATTAAAATCAGCAATTGGAGAACAGTATAACGATCACACCGTTAGTCTGTTCCCAAATATCATGTGCAAATTGGTTGCAAAGAGTTTTATTTATTTAAATAATATTGTTCACAAGCAGATTGTACTTGTACAAAGATAATGATTTAAATTAATTTGTTTAAAAAATTTATATAAACTTGTTTGATGGCAGGTTATCAGAAACATGGTTACCTCATAATTCGTTATTCGTATCGTTATAAATTTGATGAAAATATACTCACACTCAGGCCATTCAAGATATGGATGAAATTCTTTCTTCATCGGAACAGATTTGGAGAAATTTAACATTACATCACTTGCTCACCAATGAATCCTCTGCAGTGAATGGGTGTCCACTGAATATAAGTCAATAATTCAAAATATCACTTCCTCCAGTGAAAAAGTCCATCCCCTGTTGTGCTCACATCAAAATCCACTGACATATTTGTTCAGAAATGTTTTTGGACTGTTTTCTCTTTTAAACTGTGCTCGATCTGTGCATATTTCTCTCCTAATTCATAGGGTTGGGTACCGTTCACATTTTTACCGGAACGGTACCGGTACCTGAATTTCGGTGCCGATACCCAATGGTACCTTTTTTCGGTACTTTACTCTCTGTGTAATTACAAAAACATTTATTTATTTTTTTCCAGAAATTCTTGTTTTAATTTTTCTGAAAATCAAATGAAGGCATTAAACATTTATTTTAAATCAAATGAAAATTAAACCCTTTTATTTTTTGGCAAACAAACAGGTTTACTGTTGAAATTAATACATGGAAGAAAAATTGTGTGAATATTCCTTTAAAACATTTTTTAATAGGCTAATAATTGTATTATTTTTTTTCTACAATTAAGTGATTAATCTAGTTGTAATATTTATTTTTATCATTTAATTGTATTATTTAAATTTATATTTCTCTCCTAATTCATAGGGTTGGGTACCGTTCACATTTTAACCGGAACGGTACCGGTATCGGTACCTGAATTTCGGTGCCGGTACCCAATGTTACCTTTTTTCGGTACTTTACTCTCCGCGTAATTACAAAAACATTTATTTCAGTGAAAAAAGAAAATGGAATATTTAAAGATGTACATTATACTTTACAAAAGTAATACAATAGTAATATATTTCTTTTACATGTTAAACCGTACTTTTATTTTGACAGGTTGCCATGAAGTTTCTGTGTGTATACAGCATGATGATGCTAGTTTTATTAAATGAAACGGTAAAATTCTCGCGAAGTGACACACACAGCAGCTCTGGAGATTAAGTTTTTGTGTTCATGCCGTCATATAGTGAGACGCAGAGGCTGGAAATCACCGCGAGCGTCACGCGTGCTTCAGTATTTGTGTAGTAAACAAAACCGCGTTTCTGCCATTCACACATACAGAGGCAAGCAGAACATGCAGGATTCATATTTAAACCATCTTTTTGCATTTAATATTCACAGACACGAGTTCATATCGTGATTCGAATTAAGTGGCGGTGGCTACTTTTGATTTATTCGTCCAAAATTTACGAATTCCGTGGCATTCCGCGCTATAGAGTAAATTACGTTTTTATGAATGGACTCCGCAATCCCATTCGCGTTTTCGCAGAAATCATATGGCCCTAGAAATGTAACCACACTTCAGAACATTTCGGCTCGCCCTGCGTGTTGTTTGAACGAGTTGCAGGGGTGACATCACGCCACAGGGTCTCTCTTTCTCTCTCTGTAGCGTATGCGCCCAGATGCGTTCTCAGGTATCGAAATTTGGCACCGATTGATTTAACGTGAGTCGGTACTCGGTAGTACCGACGCAATTCGGTCGGTATCCTTAAAAGTACCGAGTTAGTACTGAGTACCCAACCCTACTAATTCATGACTTTTTCACTGGAGAAAGCAATATTATGGATAGAGGACTCATATTTTAGCTGGAAGGAACAGTTTGAAGTTAAAAACTTCTTGATGTATGCTTTACAAACTGTGATGTTTTCATCAGCTGCTTGGACTCTCTCTTTGACGGCACTAGGGATGCAACGATTATAGATTTTGTTGGTACGATTATTGTCTGAGGAATAATCACGGTTTTACGATTAGTAGCCTCCGTGCCTCTGATAAGCACATCATTTTAAGCTGGTGCACCGCTAGTGTAACTTTGTTTTCGTTTTGCGCAAGCTGCAACAGTTCCGTTCCATGTAACACAAACACTCGGTTTAGCGGAACCTTTACAATTAATTAACCGTGACGTTTTAAAGCGTGGTTAATCGTGAAACCGGTTAATCGCTGCATCCCTAGACGGCACCCCTTCACCGCAGAGGATCCATTGGTGAGCAAGTGATGCAATGCTGCCTTTCTCCAAATCTTTTCAGATGAAGAAACAAATTCTACATCTTGGACGGCCTGAGGGTGAGTACATTTTCAGCAAATTTTCATTTTTAAGTGAACTATTCCTTTAATTCACAATCTTAAGTCATGAAAGGTTCACGATCTCTGGCCAATAATTAGCTCCAGAACCATTTCCATGGAAAAGGGGTAAAAGGCCATTTAAAGGAACCTGGTCTTTCTGATAATCAAAAATGTCACAGTCCACTCATACCTTCCCTTTCCCGATGATGGCATTCCTCCCATCAGGATCATCGAAATCAGTGTCTGATGAGAATCGGGTGTCAGTGTCCCTGTTCACACAAACAGATCAATATTATCAGAGTGCAGGAGAATGTGTGAACGCATGCATACACACAATCTGTATTCATTACATCTGTGTGTCTGTGCACTCACTGAGTGTAATGAAACTCTGTTTGTAATTCCGGTGCAGCTATCATTTCTTTAACATCTTCTGGTCCACTTCAACTTATCAAGGGTTTTGTCTTCATACACACAGGGCAACAGCAGGTACTTTTGTCTCATAAACCTAAAACATTCACACACAAAATGGGAAAAAACATGATGTCCTTACTCCTTATGTATTAAGAGGTTAAAAACAAGCACACATACATCAGCAATCTATGAATTCTTGCCAGCTTAATATTATAAATCAACTCTGGCTTTTTTTATTCATTTTTTAATTGCTGGCTTATATTCATATGTGTCAGCTGGCTGTCGCATCGTATCTCAGTTTTTCATGTCCTCAAGCTACGAGAGGTGCATTTTAATACAGTCTGAATGTCACGGTGTACAGTGTTGACACAACCTCCTGAGAGACAAACAGTTTGCAAGGTCTCATCAAAAGTTAAATGGTAACCAGTCACAAAATTAAAAACCTCTCTGACACACTTGTGTATACTCGTTGTTACTGAATTCTAATGGTCAAGCCATGTTATTATTGTGTTTTCACGTTCATGCATATTATACAAAAATTATACAACTAACAATCATAAGTGCAGCAGTATATGTTTGCTATTAAAATTAAAATGCCTCCAAAACAATTACAGTTTGGTCGTTTTATGTCTACAACTTAACTCAGTCTGTCATCATGGATAGGTGAATAAACACAGTTATATTGTAGCCACAGTGGGGCAGTATGACTCCATTTCACCGCTCCTGAGCTGATCACTCAGACAGAGACTCTTTCAGTCAAGAGTGAAGGAACTCCAGTGAAAGCTGCAGGTGCACCTCTTATTTCTAGTAAAAGCACCATTTCAAAACAACGATAATATTAATAAACACATAAAAGCACATCATTTTGCCTTCAGAATTATTTCTTAATTTCTTAAGTTAAGGATATTTAAAAGCATACTTTCACAAAAAATTATAGACCATATTTTACACACAAGACTACCCTCCAACAGAAGGGTTCAGAGCATGAACATGACAAAGAACACCTTTTCTGACAATGCTGTTAAAGGGATAGTTCACCCAAAATGACAAATCAGACATCATTGGATCTCCCTTGTGTCATTTTAAACCTGTATGGCTTTCCTTCTTTTGTGGAACATAAAATTAAATATTTTTTTAAAAAGTTAGGCTTTTTTTAGACTTTTTTTTTTAAGTCAATGGTGGAGTACATTTTATTTTTGGGTGAAGTATCTCTTTAAATGTGCTTATGAATAAAAGGACAGAAATGATCATTTCTCAGTGAACTACAACTGTTTTCTACAACAGTTAGTTCAGACTTAGAAGGACAAGCTCTTTAACATGTACAGCCGAGGAGGAAGATATTAGAGCAATGTGATATTATCAGCACATGAGTGGACCACAGCTCTGCAGTGAAACATGCCTAAAGTCACAACCGCCTGTTCATGACCTGTACACAACAACACACTGTAATAAATAATATCATGTAACGCTCACTGAATGAAAGACTACCATGATTCACACTGAAACAGGACATTCGGCCGGCACATATCAAATAGCATACTTGTGAACTAAATGCCGTTGGCTATTTACATCAGTCACAAAAAGGGCTGGGTATCGATTCAGATGTCCCGATTCGATTTCGATTCGCAAGCTCTCGATTTGATTCGATTCTCGATTTTTTTGATTACATTCAGTGAATATAGTTTTAATACAAATGCTATTGATATTTCTAAAAAATGAACAGTAAACATCAGTTTACAAATGGTGAATTAATAAAAAGAAATTAAAAACCACATGCCTGTATTTTAAACCTATTCTTTTTTTTGTATAGGGTCCTTTTTTAAACAATAATAGGGCCCTATAAAATGTTCTTAATTTTTCTGTTAATCAGATGAAGGCATAAAACATTAATTTAATTTATCCTAATCAAATGAAAATTAAACCCTTTTATTTTTTTGGCAAACAAAGTGCTGCACAACAGAGGCTTACTATTAAAATTAAAAAGAAAACAGATGTGATTCCTTTAAAAATAAAGATTTATTAATATATATTAGCAGTAGTAGCATTGAGTCTTAAGACTGCTAAATAGTAATATATTCTGACAGTTTAACGTTAAACTAAACTTTTATTTTGACGGGTTGCCACAGAAATTAAGAACCACATGCCTGTATTTTAAACCTATTCTTTTTTTTGTATGGGTCCTTTTTTAAACAGTAATAGGGCCATATAAAATGTTCTGATAGTAATATATTCTGACAGTTTCTTAACGTTAAACTAAACTTTTATTTTGACGGGTTGCCCTGAAGAACTTGCAGCTGCTGTGTATGTGATATTACGGTAGTTTTCTCTAATGAAACGGTAAAATGCTAATGAAGTGACTCTCAGAGCAGCTGGAGATGACATTCGTGTTCACATCATCATATAGTGAGACGGCAGAAGCTGAAAACACAGCGAGCGTCATCCGCGCTTTAGTATGTGT